TTCTGAAGAGCAGCTGGTAGGTTTGAACTACCATCCTTTGATGTTAATGGCGCTGGTGTTTAATCCACTGTGCCACCAAACCCCTCACTTTTTATGTCACTGTATTGCTTCCGAGTATTTCAGTTTAGTCTTCATTTAACTGATTTATGTTGTATTGGTAGATAACTCATGTACCATATTATTCAGTGGTTTAAATGTATTAAAATGAGTTGTACAGTCTTGACCAGAATCAGTTTTAGAACATTTTCTTTGTTCTTGTACCCATTATTATTAGATCTCCATTACCTCTAAAATTTCCCTGCCATGACCGTAAGGAACAATTACTCTAGTTACTGTGTGTATAGATTACCTATCCTGTATTTCATATAAAGGAAGGCATACAAAAAACCTGCCAACGGCAACAAAATATAACAGAAAAACCTCAATCAAAAAGAAAGTAGAAGATAATAAAAACTGGAACAAATTAAACATCGGTCAATAGGGAAAACAAATGATAAAATGTTAAACTTTAACCTAACTATATCCGCAGTAATCCATTTTCCAGTGCACTTGTCTGAGGGCAAGACTCTTTGAATCCCTAGTCACTGGTCTCAGTAGTTCATGGGGCTTCACTCCACACGGGGACTCTGCAGGTGGATTTCAGGCCTTCACTGTCATCCCATTCATAGCCTTTTGCAAACCAGATGCTTAGAATTTAAACTCTAATGTAACTTCCTCCTTTGGTCTGGATTCTGTTATTTACAATTCTTGGATCACACGGGCTTATGTGCTTCTATGTGGACTTAGCTGATACCTCACTTAGATGGCTGCTTGTTTTAGGACAGATCTTTAAGTTCCTAGATGTTATTCTTTCTGCTAGCTATGAACTGTCTGGTTGCTCCCCCACACTTTGCTTTAGCACCATATTTTGCTATATCTTCAGTGATCACTTCATGAGGGCAAGTATCAAGCATGGCCACATCATAAGAACTAAGTGTTCTTAGGTTAGTGCTTATGATTAAGTGCAAGCTTAAAATTAATTTTCATATCTAAAGTATATTGAAATCCCTGATTTACTTTAGAGGGAGCATTATTAGCTTATTGAGAAATAATTTACATAACCTCCATGAAACATTTGATAATTCTAATAATAATATCATTAGTCTAGCCAATGGTATAGACTTTGAAGTACTAATGAGAAAAAAATGTATTTATAGGAATACTTTTTAGACTAAAATATATGACATACTCACTTATCCTGTTAAAAAACTTATGTAACTGAACATTATTTAAGAAAGTCATGAGGATTAGTCACAAGGCAAAAATTTTATTCACTAAGGCAAAACTTATGTCTGCAGGACTAAGAGATGTCACACAAAAACAAAGTTTGAAAATAGAAAGCATGTAGTAGTGTTAAGTTGCCAGTTTTGGGCAGCCTCAGAAAAGCAAAGTCCACAGACTTCCAAGTTTACCTACCGCCTTGGGATGGCTGTCCTCTGCTTCTCAAACAAGGAGTTTCAGCGTCAAGTCCAGAGGAGTATTTCAGTTCCTTTAATCGGCAACAGCTGTGTTTAAAGTAAAGTCTAGTTTACTTCGTGGGGTTTCCACATCACATAATTCTGATGTGGTCTGTGATGAATGTTATACACCTTGAAAATACAAAACCCAGTAGTCTTCATTTTAAAGTTGCATTTAAGGGAATACAGTGGGAGGATACTGTATTTTAAATGATTAAAATAAACTGGCTTATTTTTAACTTCAGGATGGTGGCACTCGGGGTTTTTGTTGTTGCTTTCTAAAACAATGCACTTG